TTGGGGGGGGCGGGTTACCGATGGGGGGCTCTGCCAGGGCTAGGAGGTCTTTCCCCAGCCAGGGCTGGATTTTGGCGTGCGTAGGCCCAATGTGCGAAAAGAGCTGTGAACGCCAATTGAATGACATCGATTGACGTGATGCACTTTAAACAATTCTAATGCTAAACCACGTGATTGATGGAGCGAGTCGAGAGACCGTCACTTCGATACTCCTAGTTTCTAGAGAGCGTGTGATTATTGATTTGGAGTCGATCGCAAGCATGTTGTTTCAGCTCGTTTTTTCCCTAGTCACTGGTGTCTCCCTCCTTCGTAGGCCCTAAAAATGTCGTAGGCCCTAGGCACTGTGCCTACGGTGCCCAGTGGGAAATCTGGCACTGTCCCCAGCCTGTCGGCCGCAGTCTGTGAGGGCACAGCAGGCGCCTGGCAGCACTGCGCAGGGGCACAGGTGACTGGCAGACACTTCCCTCGCCCCGCACAGGGCTCGGCTAGCTGCAAAACGTTTGCCCTGCCTGAATCATGGGAGCCTGGGAAAAGCTCTTGAAGCAGGGGGCCCTTGCCGTGCCCCTCCCTCACCGGCCACATGAATGAAGTCCATTTGTCACATCAAAACCAGCGCCTTCTCGCACAGAGTGCAGCTGCCCAGTTTTCCCACATCACTTCCACACTCCCTTAGGCAAATTCGAGCCTCCAGTATTTGAGCCGGCTACGTTTTGTGATTGGGATTATCCCACATATTAAAGGGCCCTGGAAAAAAAAAAGTGGTTTACAGGTCTTTTTAACGACGAACAGTCATAATGGACAGACACGGGGTAATTCTCAGATCACAGGCAGTGGGCGTTTGCGGACATCAATGTATAACGGTTTGAGATCAGAGGACAGATAACAGGGTCAGACTGGGGTAATATAATTAATGCAGTATGATAGTACAGCTGCTCTAACCTCGTTCAGACTCGCGTCAGCATCGCCGGCGCTGCGGACGAGCTAGATCCAAACACACCGGCGCTGCCCGTGATGTCACTGGATCCGCCTCATGACATCATCATACCTTCCTTTAGATCTGATTTACTAGAAAGAGTTACAAATGACTAACTGGGACCACAGGCTCTGCCTCGATTTTCCTGTACGGTGAGCGGCCAGCCTATTCCACTCAATAACCACGTTTTATTTTATTTTTGAAAAAGCCTCTTAAATGCTTCGTGCCGGGGCGGCCTGTTCAGCTGGGCCTGCAGCTCCACCTGGTGGCAGAGAGGGCACACAACACCTGGACCCCACCTGCCGCTGACTCGCACAGAACTCGCTCGACCGGACGAGGCTCTTTCAAAAACCGCAACTGCGCCGGCCACGTTTTGGGCTCCAACTGTGCATTCAGATCGATCAGTGGAATACCAGACGAAGCCAAAGTAAACACCACAAGATTCGGGACCATTGAACAGTTTTTACTATTTAGGTCACCAATATTCACTCCCGGCCCCAGAGAGCCACAGTATCTCCTGGCTTTCATTCCACCCTGGACTCTTAACGACTGGACTTCATTTTCCCACATGATTCGTCTTCATTACCAGTGTTCCCAGGTTGTTTCTCGCTGACCTGTAGAAGCTGGTGAACTGCAGCCCTCCGGGACCAGGAGTGAAGATTTAGCTCTGACCTGCAGTTCCTGCTCCTCCCACAGCCTCAGCACCATGCTGCCCCGGTCCCTGGCCTCCACCAGAGCTTCATACACCTTCTCCCTGCAGATACGTAAGTATTTACAAAAATAGGAAAACTGCACATCACACTGTATCCCTCCCCTGCCCATACACACACATCCCCCTGGGCTGAGTACATTGCTACTAATCTTCTAAACAAAATGTACTTCGCTGTTTAATCTCAGTTGGGCTCAAAGTGCGCAGTGGAGACACACCTGGCTCAGCAATAAAGTTCAAGCAGGGAGAAGGGGGGTGGCGGGAGACTTCAGGAGTATTGACAGGGTGGACAGTTACCAGCTGGACGAGGGTGGACATGTTGAACTGTAGACAGACTCCTGATGGCTGAGGTGCCCGCAGGCCCTGGCACACAGGACAGCAGGGCTGTGCTCCCCCATTTCTTAGCATTGGCACACAGCAGCAAGACAATAGGCAACTTAGCTCTCTCAAGCCTTCCACTTCCAAATCTGTAGCCTAATACCATCCACACTTGCAGAAATCAGCTTTCTGCAGCTCACACACCAAAACTTTTCTCTGCCTCCAACAACTAAAAGCAGCACAACCTCAGCCTGTTATGATCATTGCAAGTCAAGAAACCGGCCTTCCGTTATCAAAGCCGAGGAGCAACACTCACGTATCGATCCACAGCCAGGGTCTGGAGAATCACAGCTCTGCAGCTTTTACATGCGACGAGGAATGGCCAAGGAACAGACATCTGGAAAGTGTGTTAGTGCCTCCTGATTACGCCATTCAGTGCTCAGCTGGTCTATAGGACAGACTGAGGCCGTTCAGGGCTAGACA